GATCTGAAGTGGCAACTTCAAACAATGCATCATTCCAAGAATGACTCCAATATGGACCAAGACTAACAATATCTTTTCATAGAACTAGATCTAAGGAATTAGGGGCCAAGGTATCGACTTTATACCTCAAAATGGTTGCCACAACAGAGTAAACACCGGATCTACAGCCTCTCCCTTCAGCCAACTTCTTCAAGCTTCTTGTTCCTTGCAAAATAGCACCAAAAATTACTCTCTAAGCTCACACACACACACACACAATGAGGGCAAAAGCAAGAACTAGGGTTTTTCTCTGGACAAAGAGGCGACGAAGGAGGCCAACAATGAGAGTTAAGGCCTTTAAATAGGGTGTCAACCCTAAAAATTAGGGTTTTCTTGTTCAGCCTTCCAACTTGTCGAGTAGACATTGAAAGATATGCGGGCATAATATGCTCTACACGACGAGTTAGAGCCTTCGAACACACCGAGTTGCCCTGAAAATATAAATATAAAGCTTTTAAATTCATACCATAAAATTGGGATGTTACAAAAATCTTACAACAGAGGAGATGCAGCGGAATGGAAGATCTGTGAATGGAGATAGGATCGATGATGGTAGAGGCTGAAAAAAGAGAAGACGTGATGGAGAATTACGAGACTTCTAATGGTATCACACTGTGAAGCGGTATATTGTACGATGTAAGAGTGATCGACTTGTGTTTTGGCAGCCAGAAAAAACAAATCACCTCGCTAGGCTCTTGCTCGATACTATAATAAGAAAAGTATAATGTGGAAATACCCTCTCAGGGGTTGTATTGCATTCCAATTTGTATAAATACACAAGTATAACATATTTACACAAAAGACCCTATACTATATGAATATATAAGAAACATACACTATACATTAAATGACATGTTCTAACAGTTACAGTTTACATGCCCACCTGATATAAGTCGAATAAAGGATAATGATAATGCTTTCCTTGTCATTCATTTAGAGCCTCCACAATGCATTCAATGGATTGAACTCTACCATTGTGGGATGCCATGTTGGCATTCAATGGATATGGAGTTCAATGGCCAATAAACACTTCAATGGAAAGAAGGAAATCATTTAACTATTAAATATATATTCCATTGAACTCTATTGAGTTCAATGCATTGTAGGAAAATTAATATAGAGTTGTATAGTAAGTAAAATGATGATGTGTCAATCCATTAAACTCTAATAACTTTAATGCGTTGTAGATGCCCTTAATGCGAGTATTTATATATATAAAACAATCTATTCCTTAGAAAGTTAGAATAAGGAAAGGATCAGATCCAATATTCTAAATATATACATGATATGATTTGATTGGCTAATATCCCCTGCAGTGTGTGCGGGAGTTTTGCAAACGTTCGGATTGTACGAAGAGTTTCTAATTAGAATTTTGGGAGCCCTTTCATAAAAATGTCTGCATATTGGCATTCCCCTAGTACGAAAACTTAAACAATTCTCACTTTGTGAATTGTTGTTTGTGAATTAAAATATATAGCCAACTATTATAAAAAATATATTCAAATTTAATATTTCTTAGGCAAAAAGACATTTAAATAGTAGTACATAATAATGTATTTTATTGGATGGAACCTTCTAATCTATAAAAAACAATTTGGTAAATTTATAAATAGAAGTACATAATAATGTATTTTTTTGGATGAAACTTTCTAATCTATAAAAAACAATTTGGTAAATTTATAAATAATTAAATATATATAATAAATAATAAATAATAAATTATAAATTATTATTTAGGTTTTTCAGACTATTCAGTTTTTATTTTGTAAACCAAAACCAATCTGAAATCCAATATAATAATTCGATTTTGCTGAAAACAACCCCAAAATCAGAATAAAAGAACCAAATAGTCTTATCCAAATTGTCCAATGGATAATTCGGTTTTATTCGAATAGTGAACAACCTTAGCTTGACCTGGAGATAGTGGCTTATCACTTGGAAGACCATTATTGCCCAAAAAGAACGGTCGTAGGTTAGAGAAGTTGTAGACGAAGGAGTAGGGGAAGACGTAAGCGGTGGAGATGGTGGGTGGTGGTGGAGAAAAAACGTCGAAGAAATGATTAGAGGGAGTAGAGTTGTCGGTAGCTATCAGTTTGGAGGAGTAATTTTTGTATGGGAAATATGTTTCGTGAATAGTGACATGACAAGAGAGAAACACTCTACTCGTTGAGAGTTCAAGGCATTGGTAACCTCGGTAGTTTGGTGGTTACCCGAGGGAAATGCAAATGGTGGAGTGGGGATCCAGTTTGTCTATTATATTTGTTGAGCGATTTGGGAAATATGCACACCGAAGGTGCATAAGTGATCACAGGTTTTAGGAAGAATGTTGATGGTAGAGGGAAGATGTTAGAGTGCAAAGGTGAACGGTTTTAGTTGGAAGAATGTTGTGTAGGTAAGAGGCGGTGTGAAGTGCCTCAACCCAAAAGGAAGTGCCAAGGCAATTATGCCATAAGTCATAACTATAAGTAGAAGGCAAGAGGGATGAGGAAGGTACAATGGAAAACGTATTGATCAAATTCAACAAAGTCAAAACTATCGCAAGTGAAATTTCTAACAGAGATAAGGTTTTTAATGATTTATGGTGCGAGGACATTTTTTAAAAGATTGTCAGTGGTTAGGAAGAGAAAGTGTGGTGTTGCCAAACCCTTTAATACGAATACAATGACCATTTTCAATGTATATAAATCAGATATGACCATGTTCAAATGGTTTTGAAATCATACATTCGTCACCGGTGACATGCGAAGTTGCCCCAGTGTCCATGAACTAGTGAGATTAGTCAGAAGTGTTCAAGGTCATCGTGTGAAGAGCCTCAACCTCGATTGGTGTATTTGAAGTTCCCATCATGGCCCTAAATGCCTAGGACGAGCCAGAAAAAAAAGCCTTTATCACTATTATAAATTTTAATTTTTAAATAAATATATATACAATATATAATAAAATAAAATAAATTTGGGCCCCAAAAGAATTAGGTCATGTGCGGCTGCCCACTTTGCCCCCCCCCCCCCCCCCCAATGATGGCCTCGCTAGTTGGTGGTAGGAGGGTGGCGATTCTAGTTTGTCGGGGGCGGCGTAGTGGTTGTTTTTCAGTGCTTCAACATGGGAGCCACAAGGGGGCCACCGGATGCGGTTTTGGTTGTGTGTTTGCCTTTGGGAGTAGATGGCGATGATGTTCAAGTTGAAGCATGCTAAATGCAGTGTCCCATGACGAGAAGCTTTGGTTAATAAAAGATGTCGCAGTATCAATTTCAATGGTAAGCCACCTACCAGTTGATGAACGAGGTGGTTTTCGGTTACAAGGTTTTCAACATCGTCCAATTATGTTGCCAAATACTTAAGGCATTGGCAGTATTATTCCAAGGATGACATAGATGAGAGCTTGAGGTTGTTGAGCTCATGTTCCAAGGTTGCTGCACGAGATCCCTTGTTTTTAGGAAAATCAATTTTAGTTTCTTCCACACTTTTCTAGGCTGTTGTGTCGGGTTCCAGAATGCGAACTAGTGCGAACTAGGAGGCTGTCACAAAGTGTACCATATATTCATTGAATCGTTGTAGATCAAGGGCATCGATTTCAGACCACGATTCGTAGGTTGCATCGTTGGGTTTGGGTGCAGGTGTCATGTCAATATTATGGAGAGCTTTGTAGCCTTTTGTATGAGTTTTGGACAATTTACCCAAGATGAGTAGGTAATCTTGGTGCCATCGATATTTATTGACTAATACCGAAAGCTCTTAATGAGCTAGTGTTTTGCTATTTTGACCTCAATTTCAATTGCCCCCAAAATTTACAATATATTTTTATTTTATTCTGTTTTAATGGTTAGTCACACGAAATCATGGATTCTTGATGATGACATGGTTGATTATGTATTTAATTCTATCAAATTATTGCGAAATATAAATTTCCAAGATTTGGCACAACTGTCAAATTTATCTCCTTCTTGAAAGTGAGCTTCGCTAGTAATTGTAATTAATTAGCGTTCCCCCTTTGGAATTTTCTAACTTTCATTTTAACTTTCATTCGTTCTATGATCCTTACTTGTAGGGAAGTGAGCTCAAGACGAACCGTGTCGGATTTAGGCATATATTCTTAAGGAAAAGTTGTCATCCCTACCTGAACGTCAAGTTTTGCCTTGTTAATATCCGGATTGCGTCTCGGCTCTTCATAGATAGGCATATTATCGACTTTCACCCGAATTCGGATACGGGGAACATATCATATCCGACCCATAGCGTGACATTTTTTGAAATTATAGTGATTATGCATTTCGAGAAAAAGAACAATAACCTAAAATAGACAAACCAAATGGTACAATTCTATTTTATGACCTAATCCCCTGTTATTCTAGTTAAAATGAACTTTATTTAGGAGATTCTATGCAATCACAACATATTATTTTTTATTAGATTAATTATTTTACATTTTAGTTAAATTTATTATTATATAAATTCCATGGTGTACTATATTGAGCGGTAGAAAAAAAACATTTACACAACATTTATATTATTTTTTTTAAAATGGTCTTTGTGATTATAATAAAATCTATATCAACATACCATTATTAGATAAAAATATTGTGGACCTCCATTCTTTAAGGAGGCGTGGAAATGAAGCAAGGATTTGTTATTCTTGTTGTTACTATCCCTCAATTAAATGGAATATTTTCTTAATATGATATTCCAATCATGCATGCCTGATGCGTTTACTTTGGATCCAGCTTAGCTACATTATCCGTTTACCAAGAAGCTTTCAACCACCTGCTAACGTCAATAAGGAAAGAGGGAGGAATGAGGAATGTTACATTCTAAACTGACCTACAAATAGAAAATAAAAGTCTTGATCACAAATTCCTGGAACTTATAAACAGATATATATTTCTTAAATTCCTATATGTATCAAGAATCAGTTAGCTCTTGTTGTACTACATTTACTTTAGTATTCATTTCTCTGGTTTGTCAAGATGCAATGGAAATCTCGTGCGGATGCGATGCCTTGGGTAGGATTGTATGTTTGCGTAGCATCACTGGTTTGCACTCTTGCAATGGCAGCCGATGCCTTCCAAGGCTTTCGACAATGGAAACTTTGGTTTCCATGCAGATTTTTCACAATTAATGCTGCTTCTATCACACTGATAGCAATTGCAATGAAGCTAGCAGTGGACCTAGACACCGACATGTCTGACACAGTTTATATGATCGCAAAGTCTGCAAGCATCATTTTCTTGGTCACCATGGTAGCTAACTTTCTCCCATCTTTAGGACTTATGGATGACAAGGAACTTCTAATGAACATGCTAGCCTTTGGTATACTCATAATCACCATTAGTGTAAATGTTTGGATCCAATTCAGTACTACCGGGCCTTTCACAACCCCAATACAATTGCTAATATTGATACTTCCCCTTCCATGGCCATTTTCAGTAGCTATGATAGTTCCAGCATCTAGAAGAATTTTACAACACCACTATGAGAAGTTGCACGGATTGGCTTCAGATCCTCAAGAGATAAACTTCTCTGGCAAGAGACTCATTCGGTATGTTAAAAAGTATTGGATGATGGCAGAGACTGGTAACCTCCAATTTGTAACTGCTTGTTCACCGGTCTCTTCTGCTTTTGGGGTCATATGCTCACTTCTTGCTTGCATTTCAGTTGTTATTTTGGTAACACTGTTTAATGATTTATCAAACTTCCAGTATGGAAATTCAGATTATAACTGGTCAATCAATGTGATTGTTACCTTGCAATTAGTTGGGGCAATAGTTGGTAGTATAGCACCAATTTTTAGATGTTTGACTGCGACCAGTCATTTCAACCTCTCCACAAAATTGAGCAAGAACCATCTAAATGTGTTCAGAGTCGAAAAAGTATGGATTGAAAGGCTTCAGTTGTGGAAACATAGCCATGTCACGTATATCCCAAGTCGCCATTGCACAAAGGTTTTCCGCAACATTAGAAATATAATTTTGAACGTTTGTATTGCGCTTCAGATAACGGTTGTGGTTATATGTAACATAATATGTCTCTTTCCCAGATCTTCTTTGATCTTATTCTCTTTGTTTTGCTATTTCTGCAAGTCATTGTTGAAAAGATTTAAAGAACCAAGTGTATCTAATAACAATGTGATACTAGATGTGGAAGAATATAGTGCTTATGTCATACAAATTGAAGCCGACACAAAGCTTTCAAAGAGAATATTAAGAAAAACAGTCAACTCCATAAATCGACTTCTTCATGAGGCTGAAGAGAAAGAGCCAAGAAATCTTACGAAGCTTCTCAAGAAATCTACAGGATTTTACGGAGTGGTAGAGTTCGACAATGACCAAGTCCCACCTTTTACATCAAGAAGAAATGCAGAACTGCTGGAGCCTAGTAACTGTAACATTAACTGCCATTGCCCTTTCACTTCCTAAAACTGCAAACTGTCATGTCAAGGGGTTACTTGATTGTATGAGGGAAGGTCTTCAATTTGTAAGACATATTGAAGAAAGCCTTAATGAAAATGGTGACTTGGTAAAAGCAAGAAAAGCAGCAAGACGTGTGTGGACAGATGTTGAAGTATACTGCAGGTGGCTACAAATTGATCTTCAAAAGAAGGCTCGTAAAGGAAAAACATCAAAGGAGATTCTTAAATGGTTGGGTGATGAAGCAGTAAAAATTGTGATACATTTCAAGAAAAGGAAAAATGTAAGTCTGGACCACTCACTTCGTAAGTTCATTGCTGCGAGTTCCATGTATAGGATTAGCCAAAGTATATTGCTTCACTGCAATGAGCAAGAAAATTGTCCAAGAGATGAAGAGCTTTTTGAGTGGATATCAACCATAATCGCAGATCTGCTATTTGCTTGCTTTACCAACTTGCCACATGTCCTAACTATGAAGTGTCATGAAGATGCAATAGAGAAAAGGGAAGAGAGCATCCGAATTGCAGCTCAGCTCCTTGGTAGATCCAGAAAGATCCTGAAAATGCTTAAAGGACGCCAACTTCCAAACTTAGACATGGACTCGATGGGGTACATTGATAGGTGGCATACATTACCAAAGAGTCAGATACCCAATGGTTCAGTCAGGTTTCAACTAGCTTCTTCAAGTTCTAATGAATCATTGGTATTAACTATTATTTGAGGTAAGTCATCTTTAGTGTGTACTCAAGATATCTACCGAGGCTTCTTATCATTTACCATATCTGTTGATCATATTGCACGTGAGCATCATGTGAGTTTATGACATATCAGCATGTGATTATTGATTCTGTTAGAAGTTAGTTAGATGGTTAGCTGTTAGTTAGTTGTTAATAAGCAAACAATGGCAATATAGTTTGTAATATAAATACTTGCTCAATCAATAAATAGATCAATGATCTCATTACGTGAAATTGATTCTCTCTCTCGTTCTTATTCTACCTTACTCTGTTCTATCTAGTTAGAATGGTATCAGACAATTGATCCATAACATTTCCGCAATCATGAATTTGAGTCCTGTTATCGATCATCATTCCAATTCCACTTCTTCTTCTATTAATAATCCTGTTCTTAATTCCAAAAACAATGATCCAAATATGTTTTTGGTATCTACTCATCTTTCTGGTTATGAGAATTACATGCAGTGCATTAGACTAGTACTTAATATATTGTAGAGGGTACCAAAGTCTAACTTAGTCTAGTATATATATATCCTTGTATCATTATCATTGAATTATATACAGAAACACAATCATATGTTTGCACTTTTGGCCTAACCCTAATTGCCGCCATCCCTCATCAATCTTCCTCCTTGGCGACGACATATTCACAAGAGATGGCAACCATTGCAGCCAAGACAATCCATAATTCACACAAGTTTGGATTCAAGCTTTCCTCAACAAACTATGGATACTGGAAGACAATGCTCCCGCCATTCCTTGTTACAAACAATTTGTTTAGCTATGTGGATGGTACAACCGCGTGTCCGTCAACAAATTTGATCAGCACACCATCAAACAATAAGGATGCAGCTCCTACAATCACGATAGGAGTAAACCCAGACTATAAAACATGGGTTCTCAATGATGCTCACGTAAGAATTCTTATTCTCTCCACAATCTCTGAAAGTGCCTTTCAACACGTCCAAGGCACAACATCTCGTGATCTCTGCTTAGCATTGGAACGGGCTTACGCCCCTCATACATCCTCCAGAGAGTAAACCTTGAAGACCCAACTTCTAAAACTTCAAATGAAACCGGATGAATCATCGGCTGCCTATCTTACTAGAGCCCAGGAATATGCGGATTCCCTAGCAAATATTGGAGAGCCTATGAAGGAAAAAGACATTCTCATGCTTCTCCTACCCGGTCTCCGTGAAGAATACAACAGGTTCAAGTCAACAATTCTCGCCCTTCAAGCATCAATTGCTTTCATTGATCTCCATGCCCTCCTACTAGATCATGATTATATGATCTCAAAGTCATCCACAGAAGTCCCGCCGGCACAAGCCTTCACTACCACCGCGAGCATCAGAAAACCGGCGGTGACTAACGGCTACTCCTCTTCGATGACCTCTACCGCAGCCGTATAGGCCGTTCAACAATCGGCAACACAACTAGGTTTTCAACTTCAGCCGTTTGGCTCGTCACAACCGCAAGCCAACTTCACAAATCGGTCAAATAATAGTCGGGATCGACCTCAAAACAATCGATCAAACAATCGAGGATGTGGAAACTACAACAACCGAAATCAAGGTAATCACAACCAATTAAGTTGGGCATCTAATTAAAACATTGTGTATGACACATGTAAAAGGTGTGGCGTCGATCATCTATTGTCTCTCTGCCCGAACCGGGACCCAAACACCATTCGACGACTGTCTGCAAATTTTACTGACTACAACCGACAAGCTTCAAACACTTGGATCACAGATACAAGTTCTAATCACCATGTTGCCTCCAATATCTCTAGTTTTGATCGCACAGAAGCCTATTATACCGAGGATAACCTCCGTGTTGGCCATGGTATAGGTCTACCTATTTAACACATCGGTTCTTCTAGCTTTCATTCACCCAACAAAACTTTAATCTGAAAAGAATCCATCATGTTCCATCTATAACACAAAATCTTCTTTCCTTAATGTTTATTTTGAATTTCATGCCACCTCTTTTTGTGTGAAGCACGCTTCTACCGACAAGATCCTCCACATGGGGCCAAGTAATGGTGGTCTCTACTCTTTCAACTTCTCAAGTGCTCAACCTAAAGTCTCTTTCTCCACATGTCGTGCGTCTTCCACTATTTGGTATCATCGGCTGGGGCATCAACATCCACAAGTTTTACATTCCACGTGTTCTTGATACCGTTTAGCCTTGTCAAACAATTTTTCTAAGTGTTTTTTATGATTCATGTTCTGTTGGAAGATCCACCAAACTTTCTTTGTCATCTTCTAATATTAAAAGCAGTCATATTTGGATCTTATGTTTTGTGATGTGTGGGGCCCTACGCCTACTATTTCTGCTCATAGTCATCGTTACTTTCTCTTGTTTGTTGACCATTTCACCAAATACATGTGTTTTTTTTCCATTAAAACAAAAATAAGACGTTTTTCATACCTTTAAACAATCTCTTTCCCATTGAGCGTCAATTAATTCAAAGTTGTCCAAACTGGTTGGGGCGGTGAACTCCGCAACCTATCTTCCTTATTTTCCGCTCTTGGCTATCACCCATCGCCTCTCGTGTCCCCATACCAGTGAGCAAAATGGTATTGTTAAACGCCATCATCGGCACGTCGTTGAAACCGGCCTTACTCTTCTTGCCAAATTTCATGTCCCACAAAAATTTTAGCATTTTGCCATTGACACCACCACCTACCTCATTAATCGAATGCCCACTCGAACCAACTCTAATACCTCACCCTTTGAACTCGTTTTTCACTACCCACCCTGACTACTCGTTTTTGCGTATATTTGGGGTCAATGTTTTCCTCACTTACGCCTATACAACAATAATAAAATGGACGGCCGCTCCACATATTGTGTCTTCCTTGGCTACATCCACTCCCATCACGACTATCGTTGTTATGACCCTTTCACCGAACGAATCTATTTCATTCACCATGTCCGCTTCAATGAACATTCTTTTCCTTTCGTTAAACCCGTTCTCTCTCCGGAACCCTCTAGTTTCACCATACCCTACTACTCCTCTTATCCTACATCTCCCAATCCTTCACCTCAGATACTCAATACCGACCATACACCGCCCGTGTACTCTCCTATCCACACCTATAATGGTCGTTCCCATATACACCCCTCCACTTCGGCTTTCGAGGCTTATAACCAACCTTATACCGACTCCCTTACCGTCCCCTCCCCTTCCACCACTACTAAATCATATCCTAAACCTGCTACTTTCGAACCCACTGTTCCCGAACCGAATACCACCACCCCATCTCTTTCTTACTCAGAACACACCTCTACTTCCCGTACCTGCTCTCCCAATCTTCGACAATACCCCAAACCTAATCCCAAATACAATGTATCCTCCTTTCACACTAAAACCTCTACTCCTCATACTGAACCACCTCCTTTGACATTGCCAATGCATATCCTCAATGGCGCCAAGCCATGGATGATGGATACTCGGCCCTTATCCGGAATGGAAGATGGTCGTTAGTTCCTCGTGTCCTAAAATCCAATGTTGTTGATTGCAAATGGGTGTATAATGTAAAACGTGATCAAACAGGTGCCATTAAGCATTACAAAGCGTGGTTGGTTTCAATGGGATTTCGTCAACAACCGGGTGTCGATTATCATGAGACTTTTAGTCCCGTTATGAAAGATACAACCATTCGGATTGTTCTTTCTCTTGTCGTAGCTTAACAATAGCATATGAGACAACTAGACATGCAAAATGCTTTTCTTCACGGTGACCTACGAAAAACCATATATTTAAAGCAACCTCAGGTATTCGTTGATGCTCAAAAACCGGATCACGTGTGTCGTTTACACAAATCACTGTATGGCCTAAAACAGGCTCCCCGAGCATGGTTCCAAAGACTTTCCGATGCTCTACAACATCTTGGCTTTTACGGTTCGAAAACCAACCCGTCCCTCTTCATTAATGCCAAGTCGGATACTATCCTTTACATGCTTGTCTATGTTGATGGTATTATTTTGACATGTAATAATCCGGAAGTCATCAACCGGGTAGTTCAAAATATCAGCTATGCCTTAACCATTCAATACATGGGCCGACTCTCTTATTTCTTGGGAATCGAAATTCTACAACAAGGTAACAATGTCATTCTCTTGCAAAAAAAAAATACATCATGGACCTGTTAGAGAGCGCCAAACTGTCAAATGCAAATCCAATACCAACACCAATTGCCACAAATGCCAATTTGGCCCTTAGCGATAGCTCTCCGCTTTCTGATCCGGTCGAGTATAACTAGATTTTGGGCGCCTTAAAGCATGTTATCCTCTCCCGACCTGACATCGCCTATGTTGTTAATAAAGTGTGTCAGCTCATGCACTCTCCTACAGAAAACTACTGGTCTACCGTCAAACATATTCTCCGATACTTAAAGGGAACCTCGACATACGGTCTTCACATCCATCAAAATTCTGGAACTTCTTTCCATTCCTACGCTCATTCCACCTTTACTAACATCAGTGTCATATCTGATGCGGGGTGGGTTGGATGTCTATATGATCGTCGATCCATGAGGGGATATGCTATATATATCGGATCGAATCTCATCTCCTGGTCTGCAAGAAAGCAAAAGACTATCTCACATTCATCAACCAAATCTGAATACAAAGCCTTACTTGATATAATCGCTGAACTCATATGGTTACAAACCTTGTTACATGAGCTTCGGGTCCTTATGAAAAGAACCCCGACATTATGGTGTGATAATCTAGGCGCGACCTACCTGTCAGGGAATCTGGAGTTTCACGTGAGAAAAAAAACATGTTAGACGTCGATTTTCACTTTGTTCGGGAAAAAGTCGCACAGGGAAATCTGTCTGTTAAATTTATTTTCTAAAGATGACAAGATTGCACACATCTTCACTAAGCCATTATCATCTCAAAGATTTTTAATTTTACAGAACAAGCTAAAGGTCTCATCCCGAACTTAGCTTGCGGGGGAATATTAGACTGATACTTTATATATTATAAAGGGTACCAAAATATAACTTAGTCTAGTGTGTGTGTCTATATATATATATATATATATATATATATATATATATATATATATATATATATATCATTGAATTAAAATTGCATAAGGAGCAAAAAGAAAGTTGGATTCATTGATAGAACAACTAAGAAGCCTGATTTAGAAGGCAATGAGCTTGATGAATGGATCAATAATGATTACATGGCCCGGTCCTGGTTATTGAATGCTATTTCGAAAGGAATAGTTGATACCTTCATTTTCGCAACAACTGCTCACGAATTGTGGCTAGAACTTGAAGAACTATTTGGAGAAAGCAACGGTCCTCTGATCTATCGACTTCAAAGACAAATTACCTCGATAAATCAAGGAGAATCTTATGTTTCCAAATACAACACGAAACTCAAGCAATTATGGGATCACTTTAATAGTTTAGTCCAATTACCTCTATGTAGTTGTGGATCTGCTAAAGCTATATATGTCTGATTTCACTTCAGTTACTTGTCTTATGCAAATTTTTATTTGACTCAATGATACGTATGAAAGTTTAAGAAATCATATTCTTGTTCTTGATCCTCTTCCATCTACTCATAAGTCGTATTCAGTGGACCTAAGTGTTGAGAAACAAAAGGAAGTTCGTATTAATTTTTCACTTCCTAATGAAGTATTTGTCATGCTTGCTAAATCATTCAATTCTAACATGAATGACAGAAAACAATTTCCTTATAAACCTAAATATGAATTTAAAAACTGGAGTAATGGAGATCGTTATTGTGACAACTGACTATTTCGAGTCAACAAAAGTCAAGCAAGTCAAATAGACAAGTCATAAAGCATGAATTTATACCTTGCTTAAGAGTTTTCGGTTTTGGGAATCAAAAACCATGAGATTTCGGTTGTGATGGACCGAAATCTCATGCCATGGCCGAATTCACACTAAGACCGAAATCATGCTAGACCAAAACCATGCCTAGACCGAAATCACATGTGATTTCGGTGGTGTACAAGGTGATTTCGGTCATGCCTTGGCCGAAATCACCAATTTGATCCAATGATGTTGCAATGTGGTTGGTTGATCCCTTTCCCAATAAGATAAAATACACAAACCAATGCAAACATCACATCACTCTCACCCCCTCATCTATATATTAGGTCGAACTCACCTTCCCATTTCTCATTTACATCTTAAAAAATTCCTCCATTTCTCTCAAAGAAACGTTTTCAAACCTTCATACATTTCTCCCCAGTAACACCTTCAACCATTTCCAGGGAAGCATACGTCAAGATAGTTCTTAAGAATTTTTGTAAGTATTTCTTTTATTAATCTAGTGTTTTTAAACACCTTTATTGATAGTTCATCTCATTCATACACATTACTATGTGTTAAAAACTCATAGGATACAACCACTTTCAAGTGTTTTTGACTTGAAGATCTTCGCCATCACCTCCCTATATAACCACAATCACACTTAAGGTGAGTTCATACCCCTACAGTTTTCGAGATTTTTCTATGTTTTAAGGGGGGTAATACAAGTAAAATCGTTTAATAATCCAAATTATTATACAAACTTCTTCATTTAAATTGTGCAAAAGTATTATTTACAAGAAATGAAGTTATTACATTACTTTTATGAACCTTGTAATTAACAGAGCAAAGCGTATAATTATATAAAAATACATATATAATTATTTCATTCTATTTTATCAAAGAAAAATGATAATTTTACACACAAAGATTCTCATTACCAACGAAACGTTTAATATAAACTATAATAGGTATAGTTTATGGGTCATTACACTGTTATACCATTTTGGGACAAATAAATAATTATTTAAAAGTATAATTATTATACACTCTGAAATTTCTATGGAAAAGTAATATTTTCATTTACTAAAGGGTTTTTCATTTCATTACATGTAAACTCGTTGAATCTGTTATTTGTGAGACACGTCTTCAAGTACTTACTAAAGTACCAACAAAAGTCCTGAATTATAACCAAAATCTCCCGTAATAGAATGAGACACTTATGTATGAATCTATATGGGACTGACAATCCCGCACCCTAGCTGTTAGCTACAGTTGGACCGGCAGCTCTGGGGTGACAATTGTCGTTAACATTCTGACGCCTGAAGAACGTCGCAGTAGGAATATAAATCATAGTACGGTTATAAGAACTAACATGGGAAACAACGACACATTTGGTTTACGGAGTAATATACCTTCCAACGATATTATTTAGATAAAACTACATTACACTGTTTTCCAGAACAACTTTCATTCTTAAGGATTTTAAGACTACAACACATATTAAAAAAATATTGGTTTTTCTGGAACTAAATACTATCATTTTACAAGGAAAGGCTTACAAATTCTCATACAAACTCTTATGAACTCACCAATTTAATTGTTGACACTTTTTCAAACCACTTGTATTCTTAGGAAACCACTAAAACAGGTAACAACAAGCTTTCGGGGATGAGACGCTAAGACGTCAGTCAAATATTCTATCGCCATATTGTAATTGTTTTTGAAACATGTAACTCGTACAACAATTTAACTAATTTCAAATTATAATTATGATGATTGTGTTTTCTTTGATCACTCTTATTCAATTGTTATGATACTGTACATGAAAGTCATCCACCCCCGGACGTTTCCGTCGTTTTTGGTTTAGGGTTGTGATAGTTACTGTAATTTTCACAAAGTCAATGTTCATACAAGGGAAGTATGCTTCAAATTAAATGGTTATCCTAAGTGGTACAAGGAGTATAAGGAAAAGAAGAAAAACAATTTCAATTATGCATATATGGCAAATTCAGTCCAACATGATCATATTCCTCTTTTGATCCACTTGATTTTGTGAATTCAAGTGAGGATCATAATGATTTTATGAATACTCTACTTCAATAATTCAAACAATTTGTCAAATCAAATCAGAAGGTGGATCCATAGTTTGGAAATTTTACTCATTTTGGAGACTTTGCATTTATGAATATCTCCTTATTGAACTTATTATGAATTAGTAGATTTGATAAAAATATATGGATATTGGATACTAGGGCTACAACTCATATTTGTTCTCAGTTGTCTTATAGAGAATTCCATACCAGTTGGCAAATACACATCAATTTTTCTTCTTGGTGGATCCATTAAACCTGTTACTCATACTGGTTTAATTCTTAATCCAAAATTAGTCCTTCAAAAATGTTCTACATGTGCCTGAATTCAAGTGTAACTTGCTATCAGTGAAATCTTTGGAAACTACTTAACATATTGTATTCAAATTTTATCTTACACAATGTGTTTTTCAGGACTTGGCAAATGATAAAGTGGTGGCTCAAGGCTAGATTTTGGGAAATCTATATGTTCTTGATAGTAATAGTTTGTTTGATCATAATGGCAATTCA